TTTTTGGCAAAATATACAAAGGCTAGCCTTTGTGTTTTTAGCAAAAATGGGTGGGTCCGGATTTCGACGGAAAAGTAGTCGAATCAACAGGGGTGAACCAGGGGACCACAAAACTACTTTTGGTTCCGCCAGAAACCACCCCTGTCCAGAGAAACTTGAGTTTTAAGGGGTGGTCTTTTGAATCTGGCGCGCGAGCCGGTCCGAGAAAAACACGCGTAACTCACTTAAACTGGCCCGGCGGCGTGAAATTTCGACGGAGATATTGAAAGAGGATGCTGTCGGACCAATCCCAACCATTTCCAGCGATTTTTATTTTTTTCATTTTTGGCAAAATATACAAAGGCTTTCCCATTTTTAGCAAAAATGGGTGGGTCCGGATTTCGACGGAAAAGTAGTCGAACCGACAGAGGTGAACCAGGGAACCACAAAACTACTTTTGGTTCCGCCAGAAACCACCCCTGTCCAGACACACTTGAGTTTTAAGAGGAGGTCTTTTGAATCTGGCGGGTAGCGTAAGATGGGCTGCCTACCTCGCAGGCGAACCGGTCCAAGAAAAACAGGCGCAACTCACTTGAAATGGACCGGCGGTGCGAAATTTCGACATTACGACATTTCCAGCGACTTTCAATTTTTTTTTTCATTATTGGCAAAATTTACAAAGGCTATAAATTGATGGGTCCGGATTTCGATGGAGGAAAATTCAAATCGACAGGAGTGAACCAGGCACCACAAAACTACCTTCTTTGTTTCTGTCAGAAACCACCCCTGTCCACAGCAACTTGAGTTTTATAAGAGCTGGTCTCTCTAACTAAGGGCGGGTAGGCTACCTAAGGCGCACTGGCTAAGAACTCTGCTGTAGTGGGTCGGCCCCATGATATTTAGACAGAGCATGTGAAAAGGGAGTCTGCCCCAATCCAAACCAATTCCAGCAATTTTTCAAATTGCCATGATTTTTAAAGACATTTTCAGTGATAACAAATCAGCCTGGATTTTGACAGAGGATGATTGAAATCGACAACAAAAAACCAAGGCACCACAAAAATCATCAAAAACCACCCTTTGATGCACATGAAAGGAAGCTCCTCATAGTGTCTGTACAGAGACAAATTGGACCAGCGTTGGCCGTTGCCGTTACTGTCATGTCAGCTCACCTATTCTTTTGGGTAAAATGACTCCATAGACTTCTCTTGCTCATGTGAAGAACATTTCTGGGCCGGGTTCCTGCAATCATATTAAACGGTACTTTTAGCGCTCATCAACTTTTAATTACATATAATTAACTCATACAATACACTTTTAAATGCCTCTCTCCCCATGCGTCTCTAAATGACTATGGTCTTTCAAAATTTTGGTACTGGATTAAACATTAAGTACCAAGGGGCAGCTGCAAATTATCTGCAACGCACATTGATAGATTGTTTGGGGGATTACGCAAATAGTACCACTCGGTTTGCACCCCAATCAGAAAGAAATAAAGTTTTCTGTTCCACGAGAATAATATAGAGTAAAATATATGATATGTGATAAAACACTGGCAGTTCACCCATTTGCATAAGGACCTACAACAAACATATACTGCATGGATTGGAGGAGTGTACCCTTTCAACACCTTTTCAACAAAGCTGACAGGAGCCAAGTTATTTACATCACGGGCACCATTTACTCGGCCTCAAAAAATAACTTACAACTTAATTGTGCGTGTAAAAAATTGAGCCACAGGAGCATAACCTCCTACAACAATAACCGGAATGGAAAAATTCAATATTCCGGACTGGAAACAAGTAAGCACTATACCTTGCGATTAATAACGAAAAGCGGTGATGTCCACTCTAAAATTCTGGTTAAAATCCTCTGATCAATAATCATATGAGTAGGTATTATCGGTATTTGGCAGAAACGCCGATCGTGACCGATTTTCCTTTCTCACTGTTTGTTTACGTTTCCATAAAGGCGCGGGAAATGCGCGGTTGGGGTGGGGAGGTGGAGAGGGGTAGGGGACGCGGCACGGCAAAGGGGGAGAGCAATAATTACGGCATACTCACCGACATATCGTGGTCGCGGGATGTGATTCTTTCCTGGGGGAGGCAATCCCGCCTCGCTTGTCCAGGATGTGATCCTTTTGGGATGTTTTGGGGATGCTTCCCGTCCCGTGCATCGTTGTGTGGCTCCAGGCGGCAACGCCAGGGAAGTGCCATGTGACAATAATGAAATGATCTGGATAATAAACTACTATGGGCGATTTGCTATTAATAATAATTATATTTGGTGACTTTTAAGAAATATGCACCAGCCGGGATACACACACGACGTTTGGAGCCGAATCGTATTTCGTGGGAGTGTCATCGGCGTGCTGAGGTCCCCAATGACGTCCCCGGGGGCCCGGACGACATCGGCACTACCAGATTTGGACTCAGCGTGCGAGAAAACCAAAGAGGTTGCATAGCATTTACGGTGCCGAGCGGACTTTTGTCTTTTTGTCGAGATATTAGGGAGGCTCGGCGTCTGCGATACTCCGGGTAGGCCATCCCGCAATACACGCAAGCTCTACAAGCAAGATGTTGCCTACCTATAAGGCGCTATGAGACAGCTGAACTTGGCAATTCCCCCCCGCCCGGCACTTAGGAGTAGGAGAGTGACCCACCCATCGCAGATCCGAGAGCCGTGGCACACTACAGCCGATCCACGGCGTGGCGCGAACCAAGACTTGTTCAAAAATAAGATTATTTACTTATGTTAGTGAAATAGCGT